ACTCAAAAAATGTTTACACCCTTTCTACTACCTACTCAATAAATGATATTTAACTGACCGCAACTTCCAAGTATGTTATGGCTCCTTTGCAGTCTCAAGCATAGCCCCTATAAAAGCAGGCGTTCGTCAAGGTGATATACTTTCTCCGATACTATTACAAAATGTACGCATCAGATCAACTTAAGACACATTACACGCTAATCGCAGGTTAGGTTAGTTTTAGTAATTTCTATYAATGCAGACTTTCTGTTACCTTCTAGAAATTTACAAAATTACCTACATCTTATGGAAACATGGTATACTACTTACTAACTGGAGATTCAAAGTCAATCAAAATAAATCCGTTCACAATACATTCACTCTAAGTCTCTAAAAAAGGCTCCATGTTCAAACTTTAATCTTTATGAAATCCTAATTCCTTCTTCCCAAACAGTAATATACCTATAGGAATTCTATTAGACCGTCGCTTAAAATGGGCCCAACACATAAAATCAAAAAGGTTACAATTAAACGATCGCTTACACACACTATAAGCTCACTGTTACTGAGAAATACACACGCTAACCTAAACATTAAATCGATAATGTATAAAACCTTTCTAAAACCTATTTAAACCTACGGGCTCCAGATTTGGGGTAGTGCAAAAAATAAAAAATACAAAAAATTCAAACTTTTCAAAACATTTCTGTTAGAAAAATAGCAAATGTCCATCCCTTTGTTTCTAGTCTAACACTCCACAATGACCTGAAAATAGTAACAGTACTTTATGAAGCGAAATTCTACTACAAAAAATTACACACCAAACTACCTCTCTATTCTAATCCATACACTTAAAAAAAAAATTATCTACCTTGTACATTCCAGATCATTAGACGGCTTAAGCGAAGATGGTGTCACGAACCTTTTATCTCAAATCTAAAATAGCTGAACCTAATAAACYAATAAAATAAAAACTCAAAATAGGTAGTGTCATTAATGGGTGGCTTCTTCCCTCAAAAGATTCATAAGGAATCAGTCTGCACTCTGTGCACATTTGCTTATTGTTCCAGCTAACAACATATAGTAAATTTCTTATAAGAAAAAAAAATTAAGAATTAAAAATATTGTGTTAAAGCATTATTTATAGAGATGTAAAATTAAATAGTAGAAGTTAACATAACTAGACAATACTGAATCACAATTATATGTGYATAAAAATGATGTACTTATGTACATCTTCGAATTTCTTTAGAACTACTAAAAGCTTACCACACAATAGTAATGGTGTAGTGTGTATTTTTTTTTAAATCTATTCAAAACTATTTTGATTATATCTCCAAGATTATTATAGTATGTACCAAAAAATGTCTATTTCTGGAGTAGTGGGTTTTTGAATGGTAACTTCATTATTGTTACAATGTTACATACATAAAATTCAATGTATTATTCGAATGGGATTTTTACATTATTTA